TTAGGAAGCAATACTTGACGGTGTTAAGAAGCAATTTTGAATGATGTTACGAAAGTAGACCTACAAAAATTAAGAATTTATTTAGGGAAACTACATCTTGCAGTATTTCGTTTAAATTTTGACACTAAATACCAAAAATACTCTTTTGGACTACAAACGATACAATCGGAGATAAGTTTCCTTCATGCTAATAGAAGTAGTTTCGGGTTGTACAGTGGATTAGCTAATTAAACTGTCAAATAAGAATGAAGTTTCATGGTTCTTTATAGATCTCCTGTGCGCCTTAGGCTATGGTAAGTTATATAAGTATTAATTTAATTATCAGTCTTTTTATTTATTTGTTTATTGTACCTACATCGATATTTTATTAATTTAAAAAGAATTTTACAAGTATGTAGATACGAAAAATAGATTTTTTGCACTTTAATCGGCACAAACAATCAAATATTAGCATGTTTTAGATAAGTGTGAACTTAATTTGTCCGGGGCTTGGAGATAAGTTTCCTGCCTATAAATAAAAGCCGAATGGTTTAGGTTTCACATTGGTTTGATTATGAATCTGGCAATTTTAGAATGAAGTTCCTCGTTATTCTCTTAGGTTTTGTGTGTACCGCAGCACTTGGTAAGTTTGATTGGATTTAATTTAACGATTCACTTACTAATTTATATCTTGGTTCTATATCGATACGTTTTATTTAATATTTGAATAGCGGCACCAAACGCGCCAAAGGTGCATTCTTTCCGTAAGATTAAGGATACAGAAATTTTGCCATCCGAGGAGACCAGGGTAACGCGTGGTCAACGTGCTGCCAGAAACCAATTTCCCTACCAGGTTTCTCTACAGTGGGCTGAAGATGATTTTTCCATCCACTTCTGCGGTGGTAGTCTCATTAGTGCATCGGTGGTTCTCACGGCTGCCAGTTGTGCCGCAGATTTCGTAGATAATACTAGAAACATTTCGATCCTTGCTGGAGCTTTAAGTCTAAACGAAAGTTCCTCTTCCAGCCAACGCCGACTTGCTAGCAGCTTTATCGTTCACGAAAACTGGCCTGTGTAAATAATTGAATTCCACCTTTATCGATTACGTTCTTCATAATATCATTTTCTTTGCTTTTCAGTGTAAGTGAAACGAGCGATTCCCCATTTGATATTGCTCTAATAAAAGTAAATCCACCCTTTGACTTGAGCTCATCCGTCCAACCTGTTGTACTTCCTAGTCAAGGTGCCGATGTTTCTGGATCCGCCGTCTATTCAGGATGGGGATATACGTCAGATTCAGATTACGATTACCCAAGCATCCTGCAATACGCCGACGTAGACATTATATCAAATGATCGTAATTGCAATATCTAATTCTAAATTTTCCACGTTCTTAATGAAAATATCTTTCTTTGTAGAGTGCGCTGACGTTTTGGTTAGTTTAGTTGGAAGTTCAGAACCTTTGGACGATTCCCAAATTTGTACTGACGGAGAGCAAAATGTGGCCATTTGTACCGGTGATGTTGGTGGCCCATTGGTTCAGAACGGCGTCCAAGTGGGTGTTCTGTCGTGGGGTCTTTCACCATGTGGCGTCTCCATTGCTCCATCAGTTTCCACAAAAGTTCCTTCCTATGTCAACTGGATTAACGCTAATTTGTAATATGGAGATCTACCATTCTTTTGAAAGGTATTGTTTTCGACCATGTAATACACTAAACAAAATATTGAATAAAACACATTTGCAAATCTACAGTTAATATTAATCTAATTTGGTATTACAAATTTTGAAATAGTTCAAGAACAAAATTATAACATTTTTCATGTTCTTTAACAATCTGCCTCACCATATCACTCGGTCCAAATACCTTACTCACCACTTGCAGAGAAACAGAGAAAGAGAACTGAAGAGGTACACTTGATTACTCTACCATGTGTTGAATATCTCCAATAGGAGTTAACCGGGAATCCTAAAGTTTGTAATTGGGGTTAATTTATTTGCAAGTTCAAGACCTTTGGACGATTCCCAAATTTGTACTGATGGAGAGCAAGGTGTGGCAGCTTGTAGCGGTGATAGAGGTGGCCCATTGGTTCGGAACGGCGTCCAAGTGGGTATTGCGGCGTGGGGTCCCTCACCATGTGGCGTCTCCACTGCTCCAACAATTTCCACAAAAGTTTCTTCCTATGTCAACTGGATTAACGCTAATATGTAATATAGAAATTTAAAGTTCTTTTGAAGGGTAATGTTCTCGACCATGTAATACACAAAGAAAAACTTTGAATAAAACACATTTGCAAATCTACAATTAATATTAATCTAATTTGGTATTACAATTGAAATAGTTCAAGAACAAAATTATAACATTTTTTATGTTTTTGACAATCTGCCTCATAATATCACTCGGTCCAAATACCTTACTCACCACTTACAGAGAAAATGAGAAAGAGAACTGAAGAGATAGACTTGATTAGTCTACCATCTGTTGAATATCTCCAATAGTAGTTAACCGGCAATCCTAAAATTGTCATTACGATATATTGTTAGCGTATTTTTGTTAGTTTTTCTCTTACAAAATGCCTTGCCCAAGTTTGTGGTTAATATTTATCGAATTGGGTAAAAAACTTTGTTCCTACCGAATGTCCTACAACACCATGCAGTCTGTTTTGCGATACCTACTTCGAGGATATTAAAGAATAAAAAGTAGCATAGGGCAAAACAATACTTTTGAGAATATTGTTTATGAAATCTTACAAACTGTGCGGTATTAACCGCCATCTATAATACAATGCTACATTTAGTGAAATTCAATATGTTCAACAAGATCCATTTATATAGAATAGATATCTACTTGCTGAACTGAATCCAAGGCCAATCACGTATGATGAGCTAATATGTGATAGACACGTTACCAAAATTGAAGAAAGTCGTGGTGGTCTTATAAAATTATATATTAAATAATAAATTGTCATTGATAGATTAATGGGCATGGAAGTAGCTATTAATAACGATAAACTGTTGTCAAGGACGATTCTTCATAGCCTAACTCCTAGCTAGAAGAATGTTGTGTCATTGAATCACTAGAACAAAATGAAGATAGAAATAAGAGAGAGCTAATTGAGGCAGTAAGTTTACTTGTCCAACAAGACTAAAATACACATATTCTATCAATCACTTCAAGTCTAAACATTACAAAAAGGGAAAAGGTAGACCTGAAAAATTTATCAGCTATAAATCTGAAGTTATTGGCCACAAGTTTCTCTCATCTTATAAGAAAGATTATGAGCTTAAATTAATTTTAGACTTGTACCGGATCATCAACGAAACTTTTTTTCTTTTTCTTCTTCGGTTGACACCAACATCTCAACCTTACTCTTGCACCCAAAGAAAACTTTATTGAATAGATTTTTGTCCAAAAATGTGCTGTCTCTGTTCCTGACCAAGTTATTGTACAACCGATCTGTACCAATGGTACAAGCCAGATCACTAGTGCAACCTAAAGTTGTTAAAATATCTCCTGCCTTGTCAGAGAGTTCAGGATAGATTGTTACTAGTTTTCTGAATTTCAGTAATCGATATTTTGCGTTTTGTGAGAAAGCTAGTCGTGGAATTACTTTAAAATTCACGGGACAACTGAGTCTTACCAGATAATTACCATCCCACAACCCCACGTCTTGAAATCCGTAGGGATATGTAAAAACTCCCGGTCCAAAGCGACGGCTTCGTTTAAACAATCCTTCAAAGATTCCACCAGATGAATATACAACGTGCCCATATCCCTCCAAGTCGTTCACAAGAAAATTACCATCATTCATTTGAATCTGCCGCAGCCATGTAACGAATTGTACAGCAATTCTCCTTGATACCCGTCGAATCTTTCAGGAACAATAGTTTCATCGTTAGCAACATCTTCAATTTGCTTTGTCTCGTGCTCGTATTCATTGTTGTTTTGTAAGACTGAGTCATGTGCTTTCATAAATTTCTTTATGATTGAATTAATATCATTTTACCACGGAAAACAATGGAAATGTTTCGATCATGAGAGCGTTTTCTTGAAAAATTCTTATCTGTTTCGTATTTTACTTCGAAAAGATTTTATCACTAGGACAATAACAGTGTTATATATTGTTTAAATGATATTTTTATCGATATTTATGTATCTCATAACCGATCACAGTTTTAATATAACTTTTCTCAAGTTCTTGTCCCATAATTTTTATCCGTCATTACTCACCTAACGGCCTTGAGGAGTAATTCTGAGCAACAGATTAGAAACAACTTTAATCAGCATTAGGGAGCTGTATCCAACGGTATTGAGGAGCAACTTTTGGGAAGTATAAATAGCGGTTTTGACGACCACCATTAGGAAGATACAGGAAGCACTATTGAAGAGCATTTTTGAACAGCATTGGGATGGATACGCATATTGGTAGTGGGAAGCAACTTTAAGCAGGATTGATTGGGAAGATTCAAAAACAGCAATGATTGGCTCATTCACCTAGCAGTATTGAAGAGTATTTTTGAGCAGACTTGACGGTGTTAAGAAGCAATTTTGAATGATGTTACGAAAGTAGACCTACAAAAATTAAGAATTTATTTAGGGAAACTACATCTTGCAGTATTTCGTTTAAATTTTGACACTAAATACCAAAAATACTCTTTTGGACTACAAACGATACAATCGGAGATAAGTTTCCTTCATGCTAATAGAAGTAGTTTCGGGTTGTACAGTGGATTAGCTAATTAAACTGTCAAATAAGAATGAAGTTTCATGGTTCTTTATAGATCTCCTGTGCGCCTTAGGCTATGGTAAGTTATATAAGTATTAATTTAATTATCAGTCTTTTTATTTATTTGTTTATTGTACCTACATCGATATTTTATTAATTTAAAAAGAATTTTACAAGTATGTAGATACGAAAAATAGATTTTTTGCACTTTAATCGGCACAAACAATCAAATATTAGCATGTTTTAGATAAGTGTGAACTTAATTTGTCCGGGGCTTGGAGATAAGTTTCCTGCCTATAAATAAAAGCCGAATGGTTTAGGTTTCACATTGGTTTGATTATGAATCTGGCAATTTTAGAATGAAGTTCCTCGTTATTCTCTTAGGTTTTGTGTGTACCGCAGCACTTGGTAAGTTTGATTGGATTTAATTTAACGATTCACTTACTAATTTATATCTTGGTTCTAAATCGATACGTTTTATTTAATATTTGAATAGCGGCACCAAACGCGCCAAAGGTGCATTCTTTCCGTAAGATTAAGGATACAGAAATTTTGCCATCCGAGGAGACCAGGGTAACGCGTGGTCAACGTGCTGCCAGAAACCAATTTCCCTACCAGGTTTCTCTACAGTGGGCTGAAGATGATTTTTCCATCCACTTCTGCGGTGGTAGTCTCATTAGTGCATCGGTGGTTCTCACGGCTGCCAGTTGTGCCGCAGATTTCGTAGATAATACTAGAAACATTTCGATCCTTGCTGGAGCTTTAAGTCTAAACGAAAGTTCCTCTTCCAGCCAACGCCGACTTGCTAGCAGCTTTATCGTTCACGAAAACTGGCCTGTGTAAATAATTGAATTCCACCTTTATCGATTACGTTCTTCATAATATCATTTTCTTTGCTTTTCAGTGTAAGTGAAACGAGCGATTCCCCATTTGATATTGCTCTAATAAAAGTAAATCCACCCTTTGACTTGAGCTCATCCGTCCAACCTGTTGTACTTCCTAGTCAAGGTGCCGATGTTTCTGGATCCGCCGTCTATTCAGGATGGGGATATACGTCAGATTCAGATTACGATTACCCAAGCATCCTGCAATACGCCGACGTAGACATTATATCAAATGATCGTAATTGCAATATCTAATTCTAAATTTTCCACGTTCTTAATGAAAATATCTTTCTTTGTAGAGTGCGCTGACGTTTTGGTTAGTTTAGTTGGAAGTTCAGAACCTTTGGACGATTCCCAAATTTGTACTGACGGAGAGCAAAATGTGGCCATTTGTACCGGTGATGTTGGTGGCCCATTGGTTCAGAACGGCGTCCAAGTNAAATAACAATAACAATAACAAAGACAACAAAAATGAAAACAATGTGGCAAATAGCAATAGAATAATAAAAGCACTTACGAAAGGTGGTAGTAGCGGTAGACCAGAGACTGTCCTGAGATATGAAATTTGGGAGTATTTATAGGATAGGGTTGTTAGTAGATTTGATAGAATGTTCTAGAAGGAAAAGTAGTGAGAGAGAGGGTGAAGACACTGGTTTATAGAAACACTTAGAATCAAACAGTATAGAATTCAAGAGAAAGCAATTAAGGGTAAAACCAGATATTAGTATTGGAGTGCATGCAGGTATGGTTGAAGTGGATTTCCAGGTAAAAGTGATTTAGAGAACAATAGAGTTTAGTTTGTACACGATAAGAAATTGAAAAGAATTAAATTAAGAAATAATATCTACAAAAGAATATACAATTTTCCGCCACAGTATTAATTTAAGATGAATTTTCAAGTATGTAGATATGAAAAATGGGGTTTTTGCACTTTAATCGCCACAAACAATGAAATATTAGCATGTTTTAGATAAGTGTAAACTTAATTTGTCCGGGACTTGGAGATAAGTTTTCTGCCTATAAATAAACGCCGGAGGATTTAGGTTTTACATTGGTTTGATTGTGAATCTGGCAATTTTAGAATGAAGTTCCTCGTTATTCTCTTAGGTTTTGTGTGTACCGCAGCACTTGGTAAGTTTGATTGGATTTAATTTAACGATTCACTTATTAATTTATGTGTTGGTTCCATACCGATATGTTTTATTTAATATTTGAATAGCGGCACCAAACGCTCCAAATGTAAATTCCTTCCATAAGACTTACATAAAAGATAGAGAAATTTCGCCATCCGACGATACCAGAATAATAGGTGGTCAAAATGCTATCAGAAACCAATTCCCCTACCAGGTTTCTGTACAGTGGGATTCCGGTGCATCGCCCAGACACTTCTGCGGTGGTAGTCTCATTAGTGCATCGGTGGTGCTTACGGCTGCCCATTGTATCCAAAGCTCCGGTAGCTATTCGATCCTTGCTGGAATTTTAAGTCTAGACGAAAATTCCTCTTCCAGGCAAAGCCGAGGTGCTAGCAGCATTGTCGTTCACGAAAACTGGCCCACGTAAATAATTGATTTCCACCTTTATCGATTACGCCTTTTTTAATATCATTTTCTTTGCTTTTAAGTGGAGGTAGTAGTGGTAGTTCCGCCTTTGATATCGCTTTAATAAAAGTTAATCCACCCTTTGACTTGAGCTCATCCGTCCAACCTATTGCACTTCCTAGTCAAGGTGCCGATGTTTCTGGAGCCGCCATCTATTCTGGATGGGGAAGGATATCTACTTCAGATCCCCTACCCGCAAGCGTCCTGCAATACGCCATCGGAAACATTATATCAAACCAACGTAATTGATATACCTAATTCTAAATTGTCAACATTTGTACTGAAAAAACCTTTCTTTGTAGGTTGCGCTGATATTTTGGTTAATTTATTTACAACTTCAAGTCCTTTGGACGATTCCCAAATTTGTACTGATGGAGAGCAAGGTGTGGCAGCTTGTAGCGGTGATAGAGGTGGCCCATTGGTTCGGAACGGCGTCCAAGTGGGTATTGCGGCGTGGGGTCCCTCACCATGTGGCGTCTCCACTGCTCCAACAGTTTCCACAAAAGTTTCTTCCTATGTCAACTGGATTAACGCTAATATGTAATATGGAGATCTACCGTTCTTTTGAAGGGTAATGTTCTCGACCATGTAATACACAAAGAAAAACATTGAATAAAACACATTTGCAAATCTACAATTAATATTAATCT